CTTCAAAGCTACCATATCATTTATGGACATTGTACGGTGTATGTGCTTTACACAACGAGAGACATTTCTTTTATTCGTTGGAACCATGTCTAGGGCTAAAAGTGAGCAGGTTATAACAATAAATAGAGAAAAAGAAATTGGAATGACTTATGCAGCAAGTAGCACTACCAAAGAGTAGTGGCAGGTTGGTGTGGCAACCCTGGAAATTTGAAATTATGCTTACTGAAATTAGTGCTGGATTACAAATGGAACCGGATTACTGATTCCTGGATTAGTGATAGCCAACCTTTAGATAAATTTCTTTACTCCATTATGCCCATGTTAATCACTGCTTAGACTTAAAAAATATCTATTTATGTCTTTCTGTAAACTAATTTTTTATAGTGTTCAAAAAAAGGTCTTGTCTGATTTCAAAACTTTGGCAAAATTATGCAACCATATGCATTTTCATATACAGTGTTGTAATAAATTTTTGAAATTGAAGTTTCTGATGTGAAAAGTACCAACGTAAGCAGTATGTGCAAGTCTCTTCTTGTTTAATGTCAATACTTTTATTTGTAGGGTCCTCTCTCAGCTCCAACACAAATGCCAACTGCAGCAGCAGTAGCAGCAGCAGCAGCAACTGCCAAGATTCAAGCAATGGATGCTCTTGCAACAAATGCCATTGGCCTGGTACAAGGCCTTAGTAGTTCTCCGGGTTCTATGTCTCAACTACCACCAGTTGGTGTTGTGGGCAGTGTACCTCCTGTTGGAACAGTGGGCAGTGTTCCATCATCAGTTTCAGGTGTTGGTGTAGGAACTCCTCCACTTGGAGTTCTAGGTGGCACTGCCTCATCTGTTCCTCCTGTGGGTGTTGTAACTAGTTTACCTAATCTTGGTGGACCAACTAGTGCAGGTGCAACCATACCTCCACCAACAGTCATTACCTCCTTACCAGTTCCTGGCACTAACAACTCCACACTTGCGCCGCCTTTACCACCTTCGACACCTAATGCTGGTAGTGTAGGGAGTGTTGGGGCCAATGCAGGAGTGAATGCCTCTGGTGTTGCTGAAGATCGAAAACCAACACATCAGGAAGAACTGGCCAAAAAGCTCATGGAGGACAATGAGCCTCAAACACTACAGCAGCAGGAGACTATGTCCATCAAGGGCCAATCTGCACGGCATCTTGTCATGCAAAAGCTCATGAGGAAAGCAGAGGTATGCTTAGTTACATTTAAAACTTACTGTAGAAGCTTTGTGGTAACAAAAAGATTTTTGTACTTTAGCTGTAGAAGGCAATCAAACAGCTTAGAAATTTGATTAAGTAATGTAATGGATGTTTATTTTTTTTTTCCTGCTGCTTTATTTTTTAAGGGGGGTTCTGTACACTGAAACTGTTGATATTGGTGCCATTTTATTAATTAAATTTTACTAAACACATTAAAAAAATTATTCAAGTGTGAATGATATTTCCTTGGGAGATAGATCATAGGCTTACTTCAGTGCTCTTCTGTTACTTATGTAATAAACTTATAGTATTACGTTATGCAATTGATACTGTCCCCCCCCCCCCAACAAGCCGGCCGTCTCCCACCGAGGCAGGGTGACCCAAAAAGAAAGAAAAAATTACCAAAAAGAAAATACTTTCATCATCATTCAACACTTTCACCTCACTCACACATAATCACTGTTTTTACAGAGGTGCTCAGAACACAACAGTTTAGAAGCATATACATATAAAAATACACAACATATCCCTCCAAACTGCTAATATCCCAAAACCCCTCCTTTAGAGTGCAGGCTTTGTACTTCCCATTTCCAGGACTCAAGTCCAGCTATGTAAAAATAACCGGTTTCCCTGAATCCCTTCACTAAATATTACCCTGCTCACACTCCAACAGATCGTCAGGTCCCAAATACCATTCGTCTCCATTCACTCCTATCGAACATGCTCATGCACGCCTGCTGGAAGTCCAAGCCCTCGCCCACAAAACCTTCCTTACCCCTTCCTTCCAACCTTTTCGAGGACGACCCGTACCCCGCCTTCCTTCTACAGATTTAAATGCTCTCCATGTCATTCTACTTTGATCCATTCTCTCTAAATGACCAAACCACCTCAACAAACCCTCTTCACCCCTTTGACTAATACTTTTATTAACTCCACACCTTCTCCTAATTTCCACACTCCGAATTTTCTGCATAATATTTACTCCACACATTGCCCTAAGACAGGACATCTCCACTGCCTCCAACCGCCTCCTCGCTGCTGCATTCACAACCCAAGCTTCACACCCATATAAGAGTGTTGGTACTACTATACTTTCATACATTCCCTTCTTTGCCTCCATAGATAACGTTTTTTGACTCCACATATACCTCAACGCACCACTCACCTTTTTTCCTTCATCAATTCTATGATTAACCTCATCCTTCATAAATCCATCTGCCGACACGTCAACTCCCAAGTATCTGAAAACATTTACTTCTTCCATACTCCTCCTCCCCAATTTGATATCCAATTTTTCTTTATCTAAATCATTTGATACCTTCATCACCTTACTCTTTTCTATGTTCACTTTCAACTTTCTACCTTTACACACACTCCCAAACTCATCCACTAACCTTTGCAATTTTTCTTTAGAATCTCCCATAAGCACAGTATCATCCGCAAAAAGTAACTGTGTCAATTACCATTTTGTATTTGATTCCCCATAATTTAATCCCACCCCTCTCCCGAACACCCTAGCATTTACTTCTTTTACGACCCCATCTATAAATATATTAAATAACCATGGTGAAATTACACATCCCTGTCTAAGACCTACTTTTACTAGGAAGTAGTCTCCCTCTCTTCTACACACCCTAACCTGAGCCTCACTATCCTCATAAAAACTCTTTACAGCATTTAGTAACTTACCACATATATACTTCAATGTAAACACTTGATCTACACATCCCCAACCCACTCTGAAACCTCCTTGCTCATCCACAATCCTACATTCTGTCTTACCTCTAATTCTTTCAATAATAACCCTGCCGTACACTTTTCCTGGTATACTCAATAAACTTATTCCTCTATAATTTTTACAATCTCTTTTGTCCTCCTTCCCTTTATATAAAGGGACTATACATGCTCTCTGCCAGTCCCTAGGTACCTTCCCCTCTTTCATACATTTATTAAACAAAAGTACCAACTACTCCAACACTATATCCCCCCCTGCTTTTAACATTTCTGTCATGATCCCATTAGTTCCAGCTGCTTTACCCCCCTTCATCCTCTGTAATGCCTCACGTACCTCCCCCACACTTACATTCTGCTCTTCTTCACTCCTAAAAGATGGTATACCTCCCTGGCCAGTGCATGAAATTACCGCCTCCCTTTCTTCCTCAACATTTAAAAGTTCCTCAAAATATTCTCGCCATCTACCTAATACCTCCCTCTCCCCATCTACTAACTCCCCTGAGAAATCCATACGTTCCCTAGGCTTTCTTAACTTGTTTAACTCGCTCCAAAATTTTTTCTTATTTTCATTAAAATTTCTTGACAGTGCCTCTCCCACTTTATCATCTGCTCTCCTTTTGCACTCTCTCACCACTCTCTTCACCTTTCTTTTACTCTCCATATACTCTGCTCTTCTTATAACACTTCTGCTTTGTAAAAACCTCTCATAAGCTATCTTTTTCTCTTTTATCACACCCTTTACTTCATCATTCCACCAATCACTCCTCTTTCCTCCTGCCCCCACCCTCCTATAACCACAAACTTCTGCCCTGCATTCTAATACTGCATTTTTAAAACTCATCCAACCCTCTTCAACTCCCCCACTACTCATCTTTGCACTAGCCCACCTTTCTGCCAATAGTCGCTTATATCTCACCCGAACTTCCTCCTCCCTTAGTTTATACACTTTCACTTCCCTCCTACTTGTTGTTGCCACCTTCCTCTTGTCCCATCTACCTCTTACTCTAACTGTAGCTATAACTAAATAATGATCCGATATATCAGTTGCCCCTCTATAAACATGTACATCCTGGAGCCTACCCATTAACCTTTTATCCACCAATACATAATCTAACAAACTACTTTCATTACGTGCTACATCATACCTTGTACAATGGACCCCCGCATAACGATCACCTCCGAATGCGACCAATTATGTAAGTGTATTTATGTAAATGCGTTTGTACGTGTATGTTTGGGGGTCTGAAATGGACTAATCTACTTCACAATATTCCTTATGGGAACAAATTCGGTCAGTACTGGCACCTGAACATACTTCTGGAGTGAAAAAATATCGTTAACCGGGGGTCCACTGTACAGTGGACCCCCGCATAACGATTACCTCCGAATGCGACCAATTATGTAAGTGTATTTATGTAAGTGCGTTTGTACGTGTATGTTTGGGGGTCTGAAATGGACTAATCTACTTCACAATATTCCTTATGGGAACAAATTCGGTCAGTACTGGCACCTGAACATACTTACGGAGTGAAAAAATATCGTTAACCGGGGGTCCACTGTATATTTATTTATCCTCTTTTTCATAAAATATGTATTACTTATTACCAAATCTCTTTCTACACATAGCTCAATTAAAGGCTCCCCATTTACATTTACCCCTGGCACCCCAAATTTACCTATTACTCCCTCCACAACATTTTTACCCACTTTAGCATTGAAATCCCCAATCACAAGTACTCTCACACTTGGTTCAAAACTCCCCACGCATTCACTCAACATTTCCCAAAATCTCTCTCTCTCTCCTCTACACTTCTCTCTTCTCCAGGTGCATATACACTTACTATAACCCACTTTTCACATCCAACCTTTATTTTACTCCACATAATCCTTGAATTAATTCATTTATAGTCCCTTTTTTCCTGCCATATATTATCCTTCAACATTACTTAAAGCCAGGACATCCAGCTTCTTCTCATTCATAACATCCACAATCATCTCTTTCTTATCATTTGCACAACATCCACACACATTCAGACTTCCCACTTTGACAATATTCTTCTTATTCTTTTTAGTAATCTTTACAGGAAAAGGGGTTACTAGCCCATTGTTCCTGGCATTTTAGTTGACTTTTACAACACGCATGGCTTACAGAGGAAAGATTCTTATTCCACTTCCCCATGGATATAAAAGGAAAAGTAATAAGACCAAGAGCTATCAAGATAAAATCAAAGAAAACTCAGATAAGCGTGTATAAATAAACGTGTACATGTATGTGTAGTGTGACCTAAGTGTAAGTAGAAGTAGCAAGACATACCTGTAATCTTGCATATTTATGAGACAGACAAAAAAGACCAGCAATCCTACCATCATGTAAAACAATTAATTACAGGCTTTTGTTTTACATTCACTTGGTAGGACAGTAGTACCTCCCTGGGTGGTTGCTGTCTACCAACCTGCTACCTAAGTGGATATAAACCATTAAATGAATTGAAGAATTCACAAAGAGTAATACTTGAGCCTTGATGCATAAATTAATGTATCAGATATGTAGAGCTAAAAGGAAAAAAAAAGTTTTCAAGGTATTAATCTAATATTTATCAAGTGAAAAATAACTTTTATACTTAATTTGATATTGATTTTAAATCATGCCATTTTATGGCATCCATAAAGTTCCTATGAACTTTATACACAACAATTTTTCCTTGCAGTCAACGGTGGTGATCCTGCGTAATATGGTAGGAAATGAAGATGTAGATGAACTTCTCCAAGATGAAATTACGGAAGAGTGTGGTCGATTTGGTGTTGTGAGACATGTAATCATATATCAAGAAAAACAATCTGATGAAGATGATGCAGAAGTTCTCGTCAAGATTTTTGTGGAATTCTCAAATCCACGAGGTATGTAGGAAAACTAATGATTTTGGGTTAGGTCACTGCATTATTATTATTACATTGATTAGCAGAATATCTGTAGGGGTCATGCAACACTTAAGGGCATTTTTATTTGGGGGGGGAGAGTTAAATACAGTATCTCATCAATATCCAGTCCCTTTGGGGGAAAAGGGTAAACCTGATTTTCAATGAGACTGGATGATCTCAAAATTTTTGTAACCACCTTGTGTTTTGCACGTTTTTTTTTATTATCCGTCTAGGTGTCAGATATTGTTGGAAGCTGATACTGTAGTTCATAGAATTACATATAATGTACCATAACTTGGACATACACCCTCTTGGTCATCTTCTGGTGCTCCATCCTCTAAATGCTCAAACCATCTGAACAACCTTTCGTCTACCCTCTGAATATCTCTTGTAACCATACTGTTACGAGAGAGACTCGCCCAAGAGGGTGTATAAACCCAGGCTGGTAAGGAGTGGTAGGAGTTAACCAAGGAAGGGTTGGAGGGAAAGTGTGAAAGGTTGTAAGTGGAAGAGGCCTCAGTTTGCAGCAGGGATGTGTGTGCATATTAGATATAAGTGAATGGGGACCTGATTTTAGGTGAGTACTCAAATCCTTACGTGGATGCAAGGTCTTAGCCCCTGGCCATGCCACTTGCCAGATTAACTCCTAGCCTCATGAGCCCTATTATACCTTTTCTTAAAACTATGTACTGAGTCTGCCTCCACCACTTTTTCATTGAGGTCATTCCACTTGCTGACCACCCTGAGACTGAAGAAATGCTGCTTTCTGATATCCCTTGTGACTCATCTGTGTCTTTAGTTTCCTGCCTCCTCCTCAAGTTTTGTCCCATGTGCACGTGCACACATACACACACATGTATACACATACATATACACACATACATATACACACATACATATACACACATACATATACACACATACATATACACACACACATGCATACATACATACACACACATACATATACACACATACATATACACACATACATATACACACATACATATACACACATACATATACACACATACATATACACACATACATATACACACATACATATACACACACAAACATATACACACACACATGCGTATACACACACACATACACATATGTGTATGGTATAAACCTTGGTAATAAATACTGACAAGTTGGTTTAGAAAGACACGTAAGCAAACACTATAACATATTTATTAGAAAACGTTTCGGTCCTGGGACCTTGATCACTTCTAACATACAGAGGTAGAAAGACATTATATATATAGGCGGAGAGTGAGATGTGACGCACGTGACCTGAGGAATGTCATAAGAACATAAGAATGGAGGAACACTGTAGAAGGCCTACTGGCTCATGCGAGGCAGGTCTTTATCAGAACAACCTCTACCTATGATGAGGACGGGTAGACGATGAAATCATGTGACTCCTGTGTTGTTGGGTTGGTGCTGCTTAAGTATCATGTATGCCAATGTTTTCAAAATTTTGTAGTTTCCAGTGTTGCGTTCTATAGTGTCGGTGACGGCGATTAGTGAGGCTTCTAGGCACAGTCGGCGTCTGAGGTCTGGTTCGGTGAGAATGAGTTGTGCCTCATTCCAGTTCATCAAATGCCCCGTGGAGTCTCTGTGGAGGACACAGGCGTACCGTACATCGTCTGTTAGAGGCATTTCGATGCTCATTCAGGCGGACTGCAAGATCTCTGCCTGTCTCGCCTACATATTTCTTGGGACAGAACCCACAGGGGATAGTGTAGACGCCTGCTGTAGAAGTTAGAGGTGTGGGGCTGCGTTTCGTAGTGAGGTCTTTGATAGATGATGTGTTTATGGTGGAAACGTTGATGTTACTCATAGCAAGTGCCCGGCGAGTATTCGTGGCAACATCGCCACATGGGAGTACTATGAACTGTTTAGGGGGCTGTTCCATGGGCGGTGTGTATACACATGCATATACACATACATATATGTATACACACACAAGTGCAGACAAGCATGCATACACACACACACACACACACACACACACACACAAGTGCACACACACACAAAGTACACAAGCATACACACACACAAGTAAAGAAGTGTGTGTGCATGTGAACACGCACACACAAGTACATACATACACACACATACGACCAGTGAAGAGGTGGGGCCAGGAGCTATGACTCGACCCCTGCAACCACAACTAGGTGAGCACACACACACACACACACACACAACACACACACACACACACACACACACATACACACACACACACGTGTACACACACACAAGTACACACACGCACACAAGTACACACACGCACACAAGTACACACAAGTACACACACACAAGTACATACACACACACAAGTACATACACACACACAAGTACATACACAAACACAAGTACATACACACACACAAGTACATACACACACACAAGTACATACACACACACAAGTACATACATGCACACAAGTACATACATGCACACAAGTACATACACACACACAAGTACATACACACACACAAGTACATACACACACACAAGTACACACACACACACACACTCGTGGAGGAGTCACGCGGTTTGAGCTCGTGTTTTGGTGATAATTTCTGACTGTGCCATAAGGAATAGAGTGTGGGATATAGGCGTGTGCATGCATGAGAGTGCATATAATCACTTAAGACCCGAAAAAAGGAAATATAAGTGATCACAGAAAAGAAAACAAAGGAAATAGTTGCTGAGTGTTTAGTGGAGGCCGTTGGAAGGGTGAACGGTTGTGTCAGGCCTAAATAGTGTTGCCATAATAACGCAGTGGGCTATTTTGAAGAAAAAGTGCGACTCAAGACCAGGGAGATAAGAGATATGTATAGATGTGTCAGTAAATACAGTGAGTAAGTGAAAAAATTAGAAGAGCTAGAGAATATAGTGCATACAGGAAGTTAGTGGAAAAATTACCGAGAAGCATCAAACATCAACTTCTGGGACACAGGACAGACCAGCAACGTTACTCCACTGCCAGCCGCAAGTAATATTCACCTAGTTTGAGTTGCATGGGGTCAATAGTACCTGTCTCTAGCTGGAATTGGGGGTCACTCTCCTCGAGCTATCAGAGTTAGAATAAGCAGCATTTACTGGCATTTAATAGAATTTAGAGGTAGCGGCATATTGGCGAAGCCTAGTGTATTTATTTTTGAACGTAATTTTAAACGTGTAAGACTACAGTGGGAACCAAGAGATCGGGTACATATACAATACATATATGTAGTACATACGTGGGAAATTAAGGAACTGTTTACATAAACCATATCACGCACACCTGGTGAGAACAGTACTGTTGTTAGGCACTTGAATAAGCTGTATGCGCGCGTGCGCGCACACAGAAACATACACAACACACACACCACACATACCACACACACACACACACACACACACACACACATCACACACACACACAAAACGCACACACATGCACACACACACATGCACACACACACACCATGCACACACACACACACATTGCACACACACACACACACAGCACACACACACATGCACACACACTACACATGCACACACACACACAATACATGCACACACACACACACCCACACATGCACACACGGCACAACACACACAGCACACACACACACACACATGCACACCACACACACACATGCACACACACACACACACACATCACATGCACACACACAACACACACACATGCACACACACACCCACACACACACACATCACACACACACACATGCACACACACAAGCACACACACATGCACACACAACACATGCAACACACCCATCACACACACACATATGCACACACACACATATGCACACACACACATATCGCGCACTCACACACACACACACACCACACACACCCAACACACACACCACACACCCTACATACCAGGATTTACACCTCCTGTGAATGACCCTAGAACCCTTCATTCCCCCCCCCCATCCCTCTCCCTCTCCTATGTCTCTCTTCTGCTGACCACTCATCACACTCTCTCTATCTCTCTCTCTCTCTCCCCTTTCTCTCAATCCTCTCTCTCTTCCTCTCTCCTTCCTCCTCATCTCTTCTCTCACTCTTCCTCTCTCTCTTTCTCTCTCTTCCTCACTCTCTCTCCTCTTCCTCTCCCTCCCTCCCCTCTCCCTCTCGTCCCTCTCTCCTCTCTCTCTTACCTCTCTCCTCTTCCTCTTCTTTTCGCTTCTCTCTCTCTTCCCCTGTCACTCCCCCACTCCTCTCTTTTACTTTTTCCCCTCTCTCACTTTCATCCACCTTTTTCTTCCCTTCTTTTTTCCGTTTCTCCCCTCCTTCTAGGCTCTCCCCTTCTCTCTAATCCTCTCTATCCTCTCCCTCTCCCCCTTTTTCTTTTTATCTTTCTCGCTCTCTTCATTAAAAAAAAATGGATTGGACCGCAGGAATCAGGGATCAGATGACAAGGTACTGTAAGGAGGAATGGGATTGAGGAACAGTGGAAAAGGATAGAGCAAGAAAGGGAGAGAAATTTGGAGAGCTTTCTGAAAAAATGGAGAAAGAGCTCTCTGTGAAATGGGAAAAGAGGTTTGAGAAGGAGACGAAGAAATGTGGAGGCACATGTTCGATAACTGCAGTAGCCAGGGTAAGGTCCAAGAATTTGAGGTAAACATGCTAAGCAAGTCTCTAGGGGTATGACATACCAGAGAAGACACAATAGCCATACGATGATGAGAGGCTGAACCAGGAAGGAAGATATATGAATTATGCTAAGGTCATATCAGCCTGCAAAGAAGGGACAGTGAGTGGAAGGGGAAAGCAGAGGGTGCAGATGGAGAGGGAGATAGTCGAATGCTGGGCACAACCATGCTATCAAAGCCACTGGAAAAATCAAGGGAGAAAATGACCACAACACAGACTGGAGGCAGAGTCACATAGGAAGAGGCAATGGGAGGAGGAAAGGGCAAAATCAGTGATTAATCAAT